AGTCTGTAAAAATATGGCCAATTATAATGTGTTAGTATGAAGGATTTTCCATTTTGATTTTTCAGGTTCTTTACTCGCAATCTGAATTATGCATGGCATTGTTCTTAGGGTTAAAGGAAATGGCCATAAACTTAACTGATAATATCCTTTCAGAAAATTACCAGTACTTTTTTATGTTTTTCTATGAATTTATTTATTATAGTGTAAAATGAGTAAAAACAATTCAAAAACTGAGTAAAACACCTGTGAAAAATCAATCCAGAAAATCCCTTCATATTAACACAGTACATTGGACCCTATCTTACAGACTTTAGAGTGCAGAGTTAGGGAAATGTCCGTCAATTTTACAAATAATGCCCTGACAGAAAATTACCAGTACCTTTTTTATGGATTTTTAATGGATCTTTTCTTACAGTGTAGACATAACAATTAATAGTAATATCAAATAAGGCTGAACGGTGGAAACTATTATAAATTATTATTATAACTTCAGTCTTTTTGGTTCAATGTTTCATCATTTTTACAATACGTAATTCATGTGTAATTACCAAGCAACAATTATTGCAATAATTTGCAGTTTTGGGCTTCAACCAACCGGATCTTATGAGAAAATAAACTGCAACTATGTTACAATGGGGTGATTTCGTATGAATTTCATATCAATTAGATTTTTTACAAAAACTTAACATTTTTAGAAAAAAGCAAGAAGATCCACCTCGAACACCAACCCTAAACCTAACTGTCATTGGGGAATAAGCAGATTGTAAAACCTATGAATGAGATCATAGAATTTATACAAATTAGTCACCAATTGCAATGAGAGTTTGCTTACATATTAAAAAAAATACTGTGGACTGGATTGCATAATTTCCAAGGACAATGATTACCACAGTTCATGAAGACTTTTAAAACAAAATATGAAGATAAGAGTGAGAATCTGACCTTCAGCTGGGTTGCCTTGCAGGGAATCTCCAGAGACACATCAACTCTGGATGATGGGCAGTAAAAACAGGCAGTCTCAAGCATGCCATCATAATGTCTTTTCCACTGCATTTATTTTTCATTAACATACACATTTTCATACCTTGGAGTGATAACCTACCTTAATTTTTGAGCACAACGACGTCTCACAGAGTGGATGAAACTATTAGCCAATAATGATCATGTTTTACTCTTAGGAAAAATAGTGACAGTGCACAGCTGAAGATTACAAGATAATGTCTTGTTTACTTGCGCAAGCAGGCTAAATCAGCAATCTTGCTTCTAAATACACCATTAAGAGAAATGTGAGTACAGAGCTGCCATATTATTAATTGCTAAGAGGAAAACCGTTGGGTTTGCAGCAGTGCCGACAAAGAATCGCAGGACATAATGGGAAAAAGTTCCTTCTGAAATTCAAATATTGACTCAGTTAATGTACTTGTTTATTGGATTAATACATTTGGGATGGACACAAAGAATCTCCCTGGTTTGAAAATGGTGTGCATTTTACATCCTCATTAATTTAATGATTTTTTATAATTTTTTTGGTCTGAGTTGAATGTCTTAATTAGTAACAAAAACAGAGGAAATGTTGTTATGTGGGATGTGCCTGAAGACACAGGGTCTCGCTTTCCACACAGGGCCCATTTAGGTCTTGTTCTAGGCACCAAAAAAGAGGGGAATCACTGATGAGCAAATAACAGTTAGTTGAAATGAGCTGTGGGAAAAGACATCCAGTCATTTGGCTCTGTTGAGTGAGGAAAGTGCACATAATCAAAATGCAAACCATCAGCTTTCCGACTTGAAATGATTAGGCTAATGAATCAAGTAAACGTGTTTTCAGAAGCATTTGGAAAAATAAATGTGTTCAATCTGAATGATATGTGCTATGACACAGATATGAGTGTCGTGATTCATATAAAATATTTCCCGATTTGCCTCAAGCGAAAGCGATGTGCTGCCGCTCGGTTTCCCAGAGAGTTTCTTGAAGGCAATAATGTCTACCACTGCAAATAAACAAATATTCAAAAATACCTGCAATGGCAAAGTCTATTTAAAACATATTTTTTAACTTTTTGAGCAGAATGCTGCCAGGGGAAACATGGGATGTGAAACACATTAGTGGTGGAGTTTGGACCGTAAAAAAATCAGCATACATTTTTAAGCTGGCAAGTCATGAAACAGTGTCCCTGCGCCTGCAGTACGAGGTACAAAACACTCTGGTGACTCATCACTTAAACATTGAGGTATAAAAGACTAGACGAGAGAGGGACCCAACCCCCATCACAACGCACAAAAATATGACCTTCACAGTTTGATGCTTGGCTTGTGTCTAAAGAAACACTCAATGCCTGGCCAGTGAACAATAATGCACAACACTCTAATGATTCTGTGTGGATCAGGTTTACAACAAATTTTCCCGGTGTTAGGTAATAATCAATAGAAAGTGACCAAAATCATATTAGAAGACATAATAAATGAATAACAACTACCACTTTAATTAATTACAACTTAATTACACTGTTCAAAACATTTATTAAGCTTATTTATTCTTCAGAAAACAGCTATTATTGTTGCATATGTTGGGTCTTTGCATTAAAAAAAGAAATTAAGAAATAAAAATGTAAAAAGTATTTAAATTAATAAATTTACATGCATTGTTATATAATTATATTACAATAATACATATTTAATTATAATTCATAATTCATATATAAACTATTTAAAATATTTTTCTAATGCAAATGCAATTAATACACAAATATACATTTAAATGAATATATTTAAATATATTATTATATAAATGATAGAATATTATTATATTTATTAATTAATTTTTATTAATATATTATAAAATCTAATGCATATGTTGGTGCTATCTCTTTTAAATGTGTATATATATATATATATATATATTTTTTTTTAAATATATATACACACACATGTATGTATAGACACACACGCACACACACACACACACACACACACACACGTATATATATATAATTTCTACTTAATAATAATTAATGTATTAATAAATATAAAATAAAAACTAATGATTACTAATATGAAATTTTAAAAAACTAAATACTATTTAAAAAAATTAGATATCATAACATTGATAATTTTTTAGATAACTAACCAGCGATTAACTTATAATAACAAATTTGGCATGGACTGATTTGGTTGATACACACACACACACACACACACACACACACGTATATATATATAATTTCTACTTAATAATAATTAATGTATTAATAAATATAAAATAAAAACTAATGATTACTAATATGAAATTTTAAAAAACTAAATACTATTTTAAAAAATTAGATATCATAACATTGATAATTTTTTTAAAAGATAACCAGCGATTAACTTATAATAACAAATTTGGCATGGACTGATTTGGTTGATAATAATATCTGGATCACTTTATGCACATTGTAGGCCTACTCATATGCTTTCTGTTTCAAACCTGTCCTTCAAAGCAATTTGCATCTCTAACTCACATCTACTGGAATTTCAGAAAGTAATATAATTAGTTCTAATTCTCAACTCCAAGTTGGAATTTCCACAAGATTTCCACCTTCTTTCAACTACTTGCCAGATGGCCTTGAATGCGTAATGTATGATAATACATGATAAAATATACAGCTTCGGACACATCCATATTTCACTGTACATTAAATATTTGTGGGTGGATCTGATTGTTGTTGCAGCCACCAGAAAAATATAACAGGCCTCAGATGCATCATTACAAATATCTTAGAACTACCCATAACTTCTGTATCAAAGGAGGGCAATTTCCTTTATCACAAAACATTAAAGTGCCAGAGGAAATAAAAATATAAAAATATACATTAAAATATAAATGTAATTTAAAAAAAATCAAATTATGTCTATAGAGTGAAACATGCTAGTTATGCTATCATCTAAAACTAGTAACAAAAGTAGGAGGATGTTTGTGAAATTTATTCAATTGTGACTCTACCATAACTTTATGACGTGTCATAAATGTTCAATTAACAACCATTAGTGAAGTTGTCTGGTTTTTAGAACTTGTGTAAGAATGAATAATTTAAGGCTTTTTGAGCTTCATATCCGCTGTACTGTTTAACAACTAAGCTATTTCTCGCTGATGTTTTCCTATGTGATGGGTTCTCTGTCCCAGTCCATCAAGGTTTGGGTTATGGGCTCAACATGCCCCCACCGGACCACAATGAAACCCACTGGGACTTGGATCCAGAATAGGAAGCCAGTGTCATATCCATGAGGTAACTGAGACTAGCAGCACATGTAGGCCTACGAATACAAAGAGAAAACTTCAGAGGTTCTTCTGAAATGTCGTTTGATCATTATTAATCAATTGTTAAAGAAATAACCAGATTTTCCTTTTAAAGTTCAATAATCTTTAGAAAACATTGTGAGAGATATGCAGCAGCATAAAGTGGTTTAGTTCGCCCTCTTTTGGCGGCGACCGGAACTTTCTCATATTGTCAGAGACTGAGACGCTTTTCATTTTGTACTTTAACCTTGAGATAAACCGTGAAGCACTGGATGTTCTGTAGATAAACAAGTGTGAGATAAATGGTTTGACGTACAAATTGGATTTTTATGTTTCGGTCTCTTGTTTTTCCCAGTACCTGCATCAGAAAACAAACACAAAACACTCTTAAATGCATCTTTGCAGTTTATTTGTATATCGGTTTACAATTCACTGCACATGAGATTGCTCTATGTCCACATTCATATGGACAATCTGTGTCTGAACCCATGGCACACATATTAAACAAAGGCAGCTTGTGCTGTGATAGGTGTTTCAATCAAACACGGAGTGAAAATTATCCTTGTTGATGATGTTATGAAATCCAAAAACAAGCTTCTTTATGTGGTGCAGATGGATAAAGACAAACACAAACTTGGTTGTGGCATTCATTAAAACATGAACAATTACCTTGTGAAGTCACTCTGTCTTAAGACATTTCAAGCTAATGTGCACACACAAAGCACTCTTAAATGCATCTTTGCAGTTTATTTGTATATCGGTTTACAATTCACTGCACATGAGATTGCTCTATGTCCACATTCATATGGACAATCTGTGTCTGAACCCATGGCACACATATTAAACAAAGGCAGCTTGTGCTGTGATAGGTGTTTCAATCAAACACGGAGTGAAAATGATCCTTGTTGATAATGATGTTATGAAATCCAAAAACAAGCTTTTTTATGTGGTGCAGATGGATAAAGACAAACACAAACTTGGTTGTGGCATTCATTAAAACATGAACAATTACCTTGTGAAGTCACTCTGTCTTAAGACATTTCAAGCTAATGTGCACAGTCATGCTGACGATAACAGGAAGGTCTGGCACTACTTAAACTAAGACTTAGCAATGCATGTAGTATATTTACAAAAGATATTGCTCCAAAATCCATTAATGCTGCTAAACGCACAATCCGCTGTAACATAATGAGGCATAACAACCTTAAAACTCCTCCAACATCATTAACAACTCATCCCTTTATATATGAGCGTGCAGGTTTGTCTCGCATCAACATTTCAGCATTCAAAACATTTAAAAGCAAGTGCAAAATATATGTCCTGTGTAATTGGACACATTGCATTTTGCATTTTGAAACAAAGGACATTCTGACGGGGTGGCGGGGCGGGGGGCAAGATCTGAAATGTTAGATGTAAATGTGCTGAAATGGCAACATGGATCATAACCATAACAAGTCCAAGCATAAGTTGATTTAGGAACAGAAAACGGTAGATAAACCAATAAATCTGCCTGTGCCTGCCTATATCAACTAAAAACAAAAAAACACTCAAGAGTCTCCAGCCAAAATGGGTGAGTACAGCACATTTATAAACAGAGAGGCCATCAATCTACCTCTGTTCCTGAATATGATAGAGTAGTTACAGCTGACGCGCTTGTCGAGCGGGTTATACGACCAGTCATACCGCGAGAAAGAGTGCAACGGTAGAGAATCATTCAGCCCAATGAGTAGTGCAAGCTTTTCCAAAAGGCACTGGAGTGTACTGGAAAATATCAATCATCTACATATTCAAAAAGCACCAAAGAAAAACAAACCAAAAGAATAAGAACACAATCCACAGTTCAAAACATGCAAATACATCAAATGAATTGACATTCGTTGATATTGTAGTTAAAACCACTATCTGTGGCATGTGTTAAAGGCACCTAGTGTTAAACTGATCAAGCATCCCATAGGAAAAGAATAGGAGAAAGTAATAGAAATACTTTCTATGTCCTAGTGTTTCTGGTGGCGTTCCAACCTTATTAACATGCTTGTGTTCATCATTTAATGATTTGATCATTCTAAAGGCACTATCTGTATCAGAAATGTCCCTTAATACCTTGCATTTCCAGCAAATATTTTTGGCATGTGAACAAACAAACACATGTGCTTGAAAGTGCCAAACAATTTGTGGTAGTAGTAAAACATGACTTGAGGTGTACACAAAACCAAATTGCAAGAGTCAAAAACATAAAAGAAATATATTAATTTTAAAAGCACAGTATGAGGTTGCTGCATTTTTGGTGTACATGCATGCACCAGTGATAGCTGCAAACTGCTCCTCCAGACCCTCCTGCTCCTGAAACAGAGACTGGATTGTTCTTTCACACTTCCTCGTAGAAGGCCATCTGAGCCATGTAGGCAGAATTTCTCTGCAACAGACAGACATGACAGAATACGAACATTGTTACTGTCTTTTGAGGAATGCAAACTATTTCATGATAGGAAAAAACCCCCCAACATTTTCTGCTGACTAAATTCTATTAAAGGGGTCATATGACGTTGCTAAAAAGAACATTCTTTTGTGTATTTGGTACTTAACCACTGATTTCTAGTTGTGTCCTCTTTTGGAAGATCAAACAAAGTAGTTTCGCTTTCACAACAAAACAGCGTCTCCACGACATGGCAGCGGCAGCAGCAACAATACTACAGCGAGAATCAAAGTTATACCTTCTTTCTTTGAGTGAACGTTTGGGCGGTGTTATGCAAATCTTCCTACACAGCGACGTAGACATGTGGTGGCGTGTTTAAACGAGGCGTTTTAGGGGGGCGTGGACGAGTCTTAACTTTTATAAAGAATATCTCTTTGGGTTTAAGACTTTAGTCTTTGCAACTTTAGGAATCTTATCTATTCACGAACAGCTTGTAACACTCCAAAGAGAAAGGAAAACTTGAAATCGTATCATATGACCCCTTTAAAACATTCATGCAATTTGACAGCAACCATCCACTTTGAAGTTCAGTGCAAGTAGTCAAATTTCTAAACCCATATATTATATAAACTATTTACATATTTATAATAAGTAAATAAATAAATACTTACAATCCACATTTTTAACAAATAAAAGCAGCCTTGGTGAGCATAAGAAACTTTAAAAAACTAAAAAATTTACTGAACCTTTGAACGATAGTGTATTTATTATATCAAGGTCAGTAAGATTTGTATGGGTTTGAAAGAAGTCTCATGTTCACCAAGGCTGCTTAATTAACCATGTAACAACGCCTATTTTCCAAAAAATTAGTTGTGGTGAGCATTCAGTATGCCTGAGTGTTTCTTACATTGCTGTGGGGAATATAAGGAGGTTCAGCGTAACTCCTGAGACTGTAGAGTCCAGCCTGTTGCTGCTCTTCCAACTTCAGGGACTCAATCTCTGATTTGAGCTCCTTCAGCTGGTCTTGAAGATGTTTGCTCTTTTCCATGTACTCTAGCCTGACACACACACACACACACAAGGAGACAGCAGCGTATATTCAGCTTAATTTTTCAATAGTTCTTCAGACAGAATGTGATCAACTGCATACCGTTCTCTCTCAATCTCCATGGAAAGTCTTTTCATATCGGAGTCCTTGAAGTCCATTCTTATGGAGCCGCCCATGTCTACAGTCATATCTGGACTCTCCGGCCCAGTGGGTGGAGGAGGGCTGGAGTATGCTGCTATTAACTGAGTGCATGACACAAATGACATGCTTTTAAAGCATTATAAGGATAATAAACAGCAGAATACTTTTGTTACATGTCATAGCAACATTACAGGGTATGTTGGTTTGGTGATTTCCAGGAGTTTCTGCTTTGCCCTCCGTTCTGCATCTTTAGCCTCATTCAGATCCTGTTTCAGGTGGTCTGCCTCCTTCAGTCTGAATGCCACAAAATACAAGACAAGAATTGAACTTCTCTAATTAAATGTTTCTCTGTAATACTTGATTCTGGTTGGACAATCACAGCACTGAGTGTCAAGTATTTTAGCACTAAAATACTACGAACTATATTAAAAAGAAAAAGAGAAAACCACTCACTGCTCCTAATTTATGTTTACTGGAATAATTTAAAAACTTTTTTAATTAGGAGAGAATAACTAAAGGCTACAAGCTATTGTTTTTTATTTATATTGATATTTACACTGGTGGCCAAAAGTAATTGTAATAATATTTCACAATATTAAAATATTTGTACTTGTATTGGTATCAACTACTGACAACCCTACTGGCCCACCTCCTTTCCGACTGCTCAACAAGCTTAACCGCCAGGGATTCTGCTTCTCTCATCTTCTGCTCCATCAGTCTCTTCTCCTCTTTGGTTTTGAGGGCTGTGACCTCCAGTCTCTGCCTGTCCTGTTCTGCTTCAGCTGCTTTGTGGGCCAGTAATTTGGCCTCCTCCTCTGCGATCTGGGCTTTCTCTGCCAGAAGGTCGGCCGTCTCCTCGGAGCGCAGCTGCAGAAACGGAGACAGATAAGAAAGGCTTACAGAATCAGGCTCAGGGAGTCTCAAAGCATGGATGGAATTCTAATGGGAGTCCAGGACAATGGTTTGGACCTTAATAGCTCTGCAGTTCATCTCAAATTTACGCCTGGACCACATACTTTTATACCGCTGGGGCTATGAGGACATATATTACAAGCTGGCGTGGAAAAGAAAGTAAACTATTTGGCATCACTCAATTTCAAGCTTGGCAAACCCCTCACTAGAGCTTCATTGGCCATTCGAGCCTCGTCCTGTAGTTGGAACATACGACGCTCCATCTCTTCTTTCGCTCGCTCTGCTTCCTCCCTCATCTGCTTCTCCCGTGCAAGAATCTGACGCTCAACCTAAACACACACACACACACACAAGACAATGGGAGAGATCTTGCACAAGATAATACAAGATGACACAAATAAATTTGATAAAAATCTAATTCAAGTACATTGACATTTTTTAAATGTTTTTGAAAAACATTGCTTATGGTCTTCAAGCTGCATTTATTTGATCAATAATACAGTAAAAAAAGTAAATTGTAATAATACTTCACAATATTAAAATATTTTCTATTTTAAAATTTAATTTATCTTTTTTTATGCCAAAGCTGAATTTTCAGCAGCCATTACTTCAGTCTTCAGTGTCACATGATCCTTCAGAATTCATGCTAACATGCCGATTTGATGCTCAAGAAACATTTTTTATTATTATTATTATCAACGTTAAAAACAGCTGTGCTGCTTAATATTTTTGTGGAAACAGTTTTATTTTTTTCCCCCAAGATTCTTTGATGAATAGAAAGCATTAATCGAACTAGAAATATCTGAAACATTATAATTGTCTTTACAGTCACTTTTGATCAATTGAATGCGTCCTTGCTGATTGAACATATTAATTTATTTTATAATAAATGTATAATATAATTTGTATTATATTAAACATTTCTATTAATATAACAAATTTACTAACCCCAAATTTTTAACAGAAGTGTGCTTTATCCTGCACATACTGAAGCTAAATGTATTGCATAAGTTGGTATATATTAAGCCTCAGTGTTATTTTAATGTTTATAGGTGTACGGTTCATTATATTTAACGAATGCTCGATTAGCACAATAAACATTAAATGAATAATTCAAGAGAACTGAAGAGAACAAATCATAAGAAATGTAACACCACAAAGTTTTATCATAAATGAACAAGGTTAATGACAATAATCATTAAACTAATGAAAGGAAGTGAAATGACAGACCTTTTTCCTGGCCTTCTCTTCTTTGGCCTGCGTCTTCATCTGTTGGACCTCTATGGAATCCACTTTCCTCCTCCTCATGAACAGGTCGTGATTCCCAATACACAGCTGTAAGATCTAATTTATACAAATGACATTAGCAACTATTTTGAAACACTTTATTACACAAACACTTATAAAAGTAACTCACCAGTTTGTTCACTCTGAGCTGAGAGGAGTAGAATTTAAAAACTTCCTTTTTCTTGTCCAATGGTTTGATAGTAAACTGAGAAGAAACACATATGGTATGTTTGCGCAATTTTGTATTATCATTTATATTTTTGGTCAGGATTTTCTTTCCTCCCAACCTCTTTCTCGCTGTACGAGATGTTTCGGATTCCACTCCAGGGGAAGGATTTGTTGGGGCTGAGCTTGTTGTTGGGGCTGTAGATGTGAAGACCCTGAGCATCAACTCCAAGAAGCAGCTCTGTGTCCCTCTTGTTTTGCTGTGAGATTTAGTAGAGATTTAATTAATCATCTATAATTTGGTGGTAACTACACACAATACACATGAAAATATACCAAGAGAAATGTAATCCTTCAAGTGATCTCAGTTTTGAAAAGCAAGAAATAGTGGGATCCAAAAGTCTGAGATAACCAGACACAACCAAATGCTTTTTCTAATTTAATAACATTTTTAAAGAAGTACACAAACATTTTTAAAGGGGTCATATGATGCTGCTAAAAAGAACATTATTTTGTGTATTTGGAGTAAGGGATCCAAAAGCTTCTTATAACCAGACACAACCAAATGCTTTTTCTAATTTAAGAAAAAATGAAATCGCATCATATGACCCCTTTAATTATCCTTTTTTAAAATCCCAAATGAAGTGTAGACCCCACTGTATATTGAGTCTGTGAGAGGTTAGCTTACTTCCAACCAGTAAACAATAAAGAAATATTTTAATAAATAAAAATAGAAACTTACTGTAATAGAAAAGTAACTAACTCCATACATCTCTAGATCCTGCGCTATTTTTAGATACTCCATCTCAGCTTCATCCCTACAAACACAAAACAAACACAGTGTGCCTTTCATGGCCAGGCGGTTTACTTGGACACGACAGGATATGCACAGTCTTACCTTGTGATGTTTCTGTGTTCAGCATACCAAGCTGTTATCTTCTCTTCCCACATGTCTGGTGTCATCTGGTACTGCATCAGCACCTGGACAATAAAGCACAGAAATTAAACACACAAGTCACGTTAATGAATGCAAATGCTGGAGATTGATAAATGAATTGATTCTGAAATGATACAGCCATTACTCACTCTTTTGGGCAAGAGTTCATCTTGAGCTAAGAAACCTGGCTTGTGAAAGTTTGGATCATAGTCCCCATACTGCAGTAAGGAAGACAAACAGGAAATATTTAATATTAGACACACTATATAATTAGATCAAGCACTGATACAGAGACCTACCTTGGCTTGAACTGCATACGATGCCAAAAGAACAGAGGCTTCTGGAGAGCAAAATATCTCCTCATCTAGTATTTGCTTTTTGACCTTGGTAAAGAAACAGGAAGAAGCTTCATTTCAACTCTAGAAGACCTTTGCTCAAAGAAAACAAGATAAATCATTGCAAAACCCAAAAAGAGGTTTCTGTAGAGCAGAAAAGACCATCACGGAGAGAAATCATGCCAGATTCACAAGAACAATTCCCACATACTTGTAAGAAGAAGAGGTGCTGAGTAATTTCCTGAACAAGCTCATCCTCAACTTTCTCAGGGAAGAATTTGGCAAGAAAATGAAATGTGATCGGAGAGTCCTTTGGAACTTCTTGATCCAAAACCTAGACGGATTTAAAAACCCAACAAACTTGTCAGGGTATTCCTATATTATTATATAATGCTCTCACTGCATTTACATCTCACCTGTTTATCAGGCTTCAGCCAGGCATAGGTGTCTTTCACTGTGTATCGAAGTCCAAAGAACCACGTTTCCCTCAAACCAATGGTCCGACACACCAGGTCAAACAAATCTTTCCCTTTCCATTTTACCTATAAGACACAGATAAACAAAAAACATGATAATACAGGCAGACAGAAACCAAAACACAGTTTTGTATGTTCATATGAGTTTACCTCACAACTGAACTCCATTTCAGCATCCATGGTGCTGACTTTGACTTTAAAAGTCTTCGGTTGCTTCTTCTTCAGACCCAAAATTGACATTGTGACTTCTTAAGCACCTGGAAACAAAGAATTACTGTGAAAGTCAAGTATATTTTACACATTTTAAAGTAAATATTTATTCATAAAAGCAGATTTTAAAACAACAGATGGTGTACAGCTGAGGAAATATACAAACAAATGTCTAAAAATGAAAAATAAATAAAGGGAGAACATTTATAAAATATATAAATATGTATATATATATTTTTTTAAGAGTGTAAAATAATTATGAATTAAATAATTCACCTCCTTGGCATTATCACGAGTGCAGCATGTATCAATCTAATACTAAGTGCTACTTTCACAAATTCACATGGCAGATGCATGGAGTCAGGCGACCACAGGTAACTGTTAAGTCGCACACGCGCGAAGGATTGTTTACATACAATGCCGTAGATTAACAACTTCTATTCATTTTCATGGAAAACATAATCAGTCTTCACCCTTTTTGAGTCAGACACAGTCTGCCATGTTAAAGCGATCGAGCAAGTATACTACTTAGCAAAGATTGAATTTAAAACCTAACATAAAGCATTACGCTATCGTATTTTCTCCGTTTGCAGCGGCAACATGTCACATTAAACTGTAAAGAAAATATCTGCGAATATATTTTCTTTTCACGATTTAGGAATGAAACCAGCTAAATATCAATCGGTTACCTTGAATAGGTTATGTGCTGAAACAGGCCCGATCCACGGCAAGGAGTTCCCAGTCTCTCCGCTAAACCACAACAATGCAAACCGGATTTGGTTTGCTCCCCTACATGAAAATCACTATAAAGCAGTCGAAAAGTGTTTAAAACTCTTTAAAAGCGTCCAATTTCTTATTAAACCATAAATTGGGCGGTTGTGGAATATAAATCTGATGTTATCTTGAGTAGGGGGTTTGGAAAACTTTGTTGTTGATTTTCTTTGCCACCCTCTACTGGAAGGACGTAGAATAACAATTTAAGGAATTTTCAATACCTCAGTGATGTATGTGCACACTCTCAGTTAAATAACATTTGAATGAGGGACTGATGTTTAAGTAAATTGTTATCATATTTTTAAATGTGGTTTATTAAATTGGTTTCATGTGTAATGTTTTATTGGATGTTTTATGTACATATGTGACATGAGTATCATATAGTTGCATGTAGAGGTATATTTTATTTACAAATGCATATATGCATGATTTTATCCAAATGCAATGTATGTGTACATATATCTTTAGCATTTATATAAACGTCATAAATGTATGGACTTGTAAAGAGGTCATTAAAATGTTCTATAAGAAATTGCCCTAAAGGACAGAATTTGTGTAATTGTTCCTAAAGGAATGGCAAACACCAGTCGGACCTTTTCTGACGTGAGGAATGTGATCCTGTCAGCACATAAAAACACAGGGGCCCAGGATAAGGTCTGATACCTGGGCTGAGAACTATGAGCAGGTAAAGTTTAGGCACCAGTACTTTTTCCAGTACAACTGTTTCATGTGCAATTTGCTTTCTCAGGATGTAGCGCTGCTGGATTACCGTGCCCCCTTGTTAGCAGCTGAGTGTGTGAGCTCATTTTTCAGAGGCGACAGAGAGAAGGCCGCTGTCCTGGATGTGGCCTGTGGAACAGGCCTGGTCTCTGCACATGCAAGCATTGCTTTACTTGAATTCTGGTGGGCACAAGAGAACGTGATAAACCTGGTAAAGCAAAGAGATATGTTTTTCTCAATCCCATTTGTTTGAGGAAAGCTGAAGAAAATGGGGTTTCGTCACTTCTTTGGAATAGATGGAAGTCTGTGGACGCTGGAGTTGGCAAAGAAAACTGGACTTTATCAGCAGCTTACGCAATGCCTGCTCGGTCAGGATGAAATTCCTTTTGAAGCTGGTAACCATGCTGTGGACTTTAATTTTTGGGCTTTTACTGTCAAAATGTAATCTGTGTTTTCTTATCAGAAATGCCTGTTTGGATGTCATGTTGCAATATCAGACTGTTGTAATAAAGATAACCAGTTACAGAGTTATTAAAACCATAACATTGTTGAAAGGAATTTGCTGGTTCAGTCTGTAGGACATTCTGCTCATAAAGATTCCACATTTTGATTCACCCATGTTTTAGGTGTTATAACTAATAACCTGAATCATAAAACATGCCTTTTTTTCTCCTTTGTTTCAGAAACATATGATATTGTTATAATTGTTGGAGCTCTGAGTGTTGGGCAGGTGCCTTTGACAGTCATCAAAGAGCTCTGGGATGCTACAAAACCAGGTAACTTGTAGGCCTACATTTCACGGCTGCATCTGAAAGCCGAAAAATGCTGCCTCTGCAGACAGTATACAGAGATAGGAAGCAAAAAAGGCACGTCCGAATTCAATGATCATATCGCATATCGCATGTATTCTTCACTGCCTGTGTTATCCCACAGTCTTGTGGGTTCATGACAGCTGAGCAGTCTGAAAGATGCAGTTGGTGGTCAGTTTGTGTGTAAATGTACATTTTTCAACAACTTTTTCCACGTTTAATGTCATTTCTAGTGAGAAATTAGTATTGTAGTAATTAAACATTTGCTTAGTTATCACCAAAGCTCTCCCTAAATGGTTGTAGATCATTAAAATATTATGCTGCCCCAGAGGCCCATCCAAAATCAGTTTCAGGAGGTACCTTCCTGCACAAATCCCTACCTGCATCAAGTCAGCTGCCTAAGCTTTCAGACACAGCCCACATGTTTAGTGTTATTATTCAAGAACTTTGTGGTTTTATTAATGTGATGTCAATGTTGTACTTTTTGGATGCATATAGAACATGTCAATTTCAGATATTTTCCTAAACTCCATAATTTTCTGGAACTATGTGTGCGTGACTACAAGAGGGAACACTGATGACCGGGAGTACAAGGCTGAGCTGCAGCAAATGATCAGAGCACTCGAGGAAGAGCAGAAATGGAGCCATGTGACTGTAGTTGAGGAGGAGGAGTGGGAGAAGGCTGTTTCAGAACAGGACAGCGGGTACATTCCAGGCGCCATTTATTTGTATCAGAAAAGTTTTAGATGCAATCCATAATTTTAGGACCACACAAGAGCAACCCAGTGACCAAATATTCTCAATAATCCATGCAGCTATTCTTATTCCACCAGCAGGTGGTGGTATTTTTTCAGAAATCATAGTATCACTTGTTTTGAAAATACTTTTGTTCCCCAGAGAAGCTCCTGACAAGAGAAAAGTTCACACGTGATCTATCTGTTTGTTTTGGCACCAAATTATTTCACCTGGCACTGGTACACAGTGCATTCATTTGAAAAACTTTAAGGTTTTTGTTCAAGTAAAGTCCATGAACCTAAAGGATTTTCTGAGAAAATATCTAAGGTGTGTGGTTACAAATCTGCCATTCCCTAGTTACATCTAACCTTTCGGTTTGCCACTCCTCGATACTCTGACCGCTAAACTTTTGAAACCGCTATTTCCGCTGGTGTCATGTGACAAATAAAGCACACAAACAGATTGTAGAGTGTGCTATTTTACAATAAAATTTCCAGTTTAAAAAGTTTCGGTTGAAATACAATGTCCGGTAACACTTTATTTTAATTTAAGGTGTCCTTGTTACACGTACGTTACACATGTTACATGTACTTACTATTATAATAACAATTAATTATGCATAATTGCATGCAAGTAACCCTAAGCCAAACCCAAATACTAACCCTAACCATATAGTAAGTACATGTAGTTTATGAATATTACTATATTAATAATGTATAATTAACTAATTAAATGTATAATTAAACTGTAACAAGGACACCTTAAATAAAGTGTAACCCAATGTCCAATTACATTATACCATATGTGCATAAATAAACATACTCAACAGAGACCATTAAAATACATTTGATTTTGTGACAATTAGACAATACAATAAGTAAATTAACAAATTCCAAAATAACACAGTTTAAATATAACTATTTATGCTTTGAATTTCCTTTTAGAAACATGCAGAACAGGCAGAAACAGTGTTCTGACTAAACAAATATTATAGGAGTGTATGAGAAGGCATTCAGGAAGTGTTGACTTTAGACTTCATAACATATAAGAGCTAATTAAACTTTTTTAAGCAAAATGAATGAATATTAAGAGTTTTTTTTTAATCTCTTCAGCTTAAGCTTCACTACAGCACATTCTGTTGGACTCTTTTTAAACACTTTGTGCCCAGACAAAATGTAAAAAAATTTAATGAGGTGATACTTTCTGTTAAACCGGTTTGGCCTGGATCTGCCGTTTCATTCAGGGCTCGAGCTGACATACATGAAAGAGTAACAATGAACAGAGTGTTCTTTTCCCTCCCTTGTAACATTTGAAACGAACCATTGTCCATCTTTGAAAGACCACCTGTGTGGCAAAGATCATAGCTGTGCTTTTATACGACTATTTCAACTAGAAATATGTACATTTCTTAGCAGGAAGACAACATAATATTTGAATGAAATTTTGAATTGATGATTTTTTTTTTTTACCTAAAAAGGAGAACTGTGCTAAGTACAGTACATGACATTATGTATTCAAATAACATGATGGAAAAACATTTTTACCACATACAATCATGAACATACACTAAATAGTGTAAATATACACACATTAAGACATAAAATGAATGAAAGCTATTAAAATGAACTATAAAACAACAATAATAATCATGACTGCTGAGGCCTGAGTGTAATTTACAGTGGAAATCTTCATCTCAATCAGCTGCACTTTCTAAAGTGCCTCAAATTCTCTACAAAAAAATCTAAATAAACTAAATAAGCAACTGAGATCATTATCAATTTTACATAATAGTAAGGTTCAGCCACTAACAAATACTTCATTTTATCACACATTCTTCATATTCACAGTGCTATGGCAATATATGACTGTCCAAGTGCATGTTAGTCCCTTAATTAATACATATCTTGCATTTTCAGTGTCTCCTTAATCAAATGTATGTCTTGGGAGCATTTTCAGTCTCACTAGGTTCAGAGGCGGCCAGTATCTGATCCAAACCATCATCAATCAGCTGGGACTTATGGCGCTTTTCCACTGCATGGTACGGCACGGTACGGCTCGGTACGGTTCACTTTTGGGGGGTTTTCCACTGGGTACAGTACCTGGTACCTGGTACTTTTTTTAGTACCACCTCGGTTGGGGTTCCAAGTGAACCGTACCGTTACCAAAACGTGACGCGTAAACTCTGCTGATTACGGATTGGCCGGAGAGAATCGTCACAGTCAATCCCGCCCACTCTAAAGCGGTACTGAACTGCAGTAGAAACGCAAACCGTGCCGAGCCGAACCGTGCCGTACTGAGCCGTACCGAGTCGTACCACGCAGTGGAAAAGCGCCATTAGTCGACACCCCCTCGTCCTGCTCAGACTCTGGCATCAATTCGGCTCTGGAAAGCTGAGACTTTGTAGTTGAGGGCCTGCTCTGGTGGGAGCCCACAGAAGGAGGTGTGCCGTGATTCAAAGGGGCTTTCTGACTCCACTGGGACCTCACAGATGGAGCGCCACTCTGCAGCGACCTCACAGAGACGGGCCGCATCCTCTGGGAGCCCGCCCTGCTGGACCCTGCCTGCGAAGAGCGCACGATCAGATACTTCACTGAACGACCACAGTCGTCTTCTGTTTTGTCTTTGCAGATGGTGGTGCAGAGCATTCCTCCACCCAAAATGAGGACGATGGATGTACCCCAACCGACATAAATGGCACCGCCGATCTCCCTTCGCTGCGAGTCAGCCATCTGTGGGTTGTAAAACGCTTTCACCACAATGCCAGCCGACCAGGAGACGGGGATCAGGCAGAGAACTCCGGCAACAATCAATGTGACACCAGTTGCTGTGGCAATCCTGGCTTTGAATCTTTTAGATTGGTCCATGAAGATGGTGCATTTTCCTCCGATGAAGGCTAAAACAAGACCCACTGCTCCCAAAAGGATCGACATCACTGTGAGGACCCGAGCGGCCTGCAGATCCGTGCCTAGCGCGAGCGTGGACTCGTACGGTTTGCACTGCATTTGGCCTGTGCTTTGGATCACACAGCTCATCCAAATGCCCTCCCACATGATCTCAGAAGTTACAATGGTGGTTCCAATGAAGGCTGTCACATGCCACATTGGCATGAAGCAGGACAGGAGGGCTCCCACCCATCCCAGTAGGGCCAAGGCACTCGCTAGTATGTGCATGCCTAAAGAAGCCATTAGGGCTGTGCAATTAATCACATACGATTGTCATGCGCATCTCGTCAGTAAAGCCGGTCACGTGATTAGTATATCACCTGCTTTCAGATGGAGCGGCATTTAATACACAGAGCCGTAGTTCACTGACAAGCTAGGCGATATCGCGTTCATAAATGATTCATCTGCGATTATGAACGCGATATTGCCTAATTGTCAGTGAACTACGGCTCTGTGTA